CTGGTGGTTAGTGAGTGTCATAGTGACTGGTCGTTTTGCCATTCAGTTGATTTGCACATTGGGATGATTTGCACATTGGGATATATAGGATGTTGTCTTTTGAAGAACCAAACTTGGTAAATTTAATCTAGTCAAGGGTATCAGTCTTTAATTGTTTGTGCTTTCTGTGTCCCAAGAAATCCTTCCCTATTTTGAGATTATCAAGATAGTTTCCTATATGCTATTTTCTAAAAGTTGTATTTATTTCTGCCATTCACATGTAAATCTTAATTTGCCTGGACTTGATTTTAGTGTATGATGTGAGTAAAGGATAAAATTTTATATTTTTTTCTACCCTGTCTTAATTGTACTGATTTTGTGTTAATATCTAGAAGGGTATATAACTCATACAGAAATGTCACAAACATTCTTGGCATTTTTTTTTTTAATGTATGTCTAAAATCAACTTATGAAGTTCCATGAAAACTCCATTGGAATTTTGGTTATAAATTATACTGATGCTAGATCAATTTAGGGGAAATTAATGTTTTTACAATGTTCCCATTAATGAATGGGTATCCTATATAATAAAGAGGGAATATGCAAATTGACCATCACATAGATGGCGGCGCCCATAGCCACAAGATTGGTGGTGCTCAGACCCCTCAGCCCCATCGGAGTCCCCCAGTCATTTCAGTCCTTCCGGAGGTCGGGGATGGCAGGCATGCAGTGGGGTCAGACCCACTCTCAATTCCCCAGCTGCCCAGGACCAGCCTGAGGCGCAGGCAAGCCTCGGATGTCAGCTGCCCAGCCACCTAGGGCCACCCAAGGCTCAGGTAACCATGACTGACAGAGGCTTGTGCTGCCAGCAGTGGCACCATCAGAGGTGTGATGGGGGCATCGCCTTCCCCTGATGGCCGGGTCACTTCCCACCTGTGAGGGTTCCTGGACTGTGAGAGGGGGCAGCCAGGCTGAGGGAACCCCTACAGTGCATGAATTTTCATGTACCTGTCTCTAGTATATTCATAATATCCTCTCACATTTAACTAGAGGCTCAGTGCATGTAATTCATGCATGGATAGGTCCCTAGGCCTGGCCTGCAATCAGGGCTGATCTTTCCCAGCAGCTGGCCCCATTTCCCACGTCCATCACCACTCACCCCTATCGCCACCCTCTCCTGGTTCCTGGCTCCCTATTGGGCAATCGGAGCTTGCCGCTGGGGGGAGGGACTGAGAGGTTGCCTAGCAGGCCCTGATCAGGTGATCAGGGCCTGCAGGCTGGGTGCAGTTCCTGCATTGAGCATCTGCCCCCTGCTGGTCAGTATGTGGCATAGCCAACCGGTCATTCTGCTGGTGGTCAATTTGCATATTGCGCTTTTATATATATAGATTGCTACTGCATCTGGATTATTATTATTATTTTTTATTCCTAATATTGTTTATTTGTCAGTGCCCCCACCACTTTATTCTTGGTTAGCCTTATGGGGAAATTTTATCTATTTTTAAAAATTTGCTTCTTTTTTTTTTTTATTGCTTTTTTTTGCGGGGGGGAGGTGGTAAAATATACAAAACATAACATTTACCACTTTAACCATCTTTTAGTGTACAGTTTTGTGGCATTAAGTGCATTCACATTGTTGTGCAGCCATCACCTCATCCATCTCCAGAAATTTTTCATCTTCCCAAATGGAAACTCTGTGTCCTTTAAACAACTCCCCATCTCTAACTCCACCCCCAACCCCTGTCAACCACCATTTCACTTTCTGTCTTTATGAATTTGACTACTCTAGGCACCTCATATAAATGGAATTATATAATAGTTGTCCTTCTGTGACTTACCATGTCTTCAAGGTTCATCATTTGTATAGTATGTGTGAAAATTTATTTTCTTCTTAAGGTTAATAGTCCAATGCATGCATCTACTATATATTTTTATTCATTCATCTATCTATGGATACTTAGGCTGCTTTTACCTTTTTAAAAAAATATATATTTTATTGAATTTTTACAGAGAGGAAGAGAGAGGGATAGAGAGTTAGAAACATCGATGAGAGAGAATCATCGATCAGCTGCCTCTTGCACACCCCCTACTGGGGATGTGCCCGTAACCAAGGTACATGCCCTTGACCGGAATCGAACCCGGGACTTTTTGGTCTGCAGGCTGACGCTCTATCCACTGAGCCAAACCGGTTTCGGCTGCTTTTACCTTTTTGCTTCTGTGGATAATGTTACTATGAACATGGGTTTACAAATACCTCTTTGAGTTCCTCTTTCACTGCATTTGGGTATATATCCAGAGGTAGAATTGCTGGGTCATATGGTAATTATGTTTAATTTTTTAAGGAAGTGCCATACAATTTCTCACAGCTGTACTATTTTACATTCTCAGCAGCAATGCGAAAGGGTTCCAATTTTTCCACATCCTCACCAACACTTATTTTGTGTCCGTGTGTTTTTAAAATAGCTATCTGAATGAGTGTGAGGTGGTATTCCATTGTGGTTCTGATTTGTATTTCCCTAATATATTAGCTATTTCAAATTTTGGCTTTGTCATTTATTTTCATTGTATATTTGTTCTCTATTTTGTTATATATAATTTTTCCTTTCATTACTTCTCCTGGGTTTATTGTGCTGTTTTCACTTTCTAAATAAAATATTGAAACAAGGACCACAGGCCTAAACTTTTAAATTAGGACAGCTGCTTACTGACAGCCTGCACACGGGAAAATACAATCCATAATCATGTAGTTCCACTCCTTCGGCTCCTTAGAACCTTAAGTTACAAGAATCTTTTTCTACATGTTTATGTTAGTAATATGGGCAGAACTAGCCCAGTAATACAAGTCAGCCTCAAGGTCTGATTCTGAGAAATATCGTTCTCTATGGTTAAGAGTGTCTTACCTTTTCTGTGGTAAAGAATCTAAAACTTAGGGGTAGAGGTTCCTTGTGATACAGGGCAAAGCTCTGTAAAATTTTACCCAATGACGTGGATATAGTCACTTCTGGCAGGTCAGGGGTGAGTGGAGTCTTCATCAAATTAGAAAAGGCTCAAAATTCAGCTTTTAAAGTTTTGATATGCATTCTTCTTATTGTTCATGCTCAAGTAATTTCTAATTTTTATTGTTTTTTGTTTTCTTTACTTAAAAGCCAAACTTTATAAGTTTGGTTTTTAATTCCACGTAGATTATCTCTCCCTTGACTAGTTTGAAAGTTATACTTTCTATTTCCCTTAGTAGTTTTCTTAGCTATTTAACCAGCAATTTTCAACCTTTTTCATCTTGTGGCACACATGAACTAATTGCTAAAATTCTGCAGCACACCAAAAAGTATATTTTATTTTTTGTCAGTTTGACAAAAACAAATAAAAAACATAATTTTGATTCATTTACACTGGATGGCTATTGTTGTGTTGGCTATTTTCATTGCTGTATTTGACAATCTAAGGGAAAAAAGGTCAATGCCCCTGACTAAACAGCCAGATATTAACTGTTTTAAAAATTCTGGTGGCACATATGATGAAACTTGCTTATTTAAACATATATACTTAGAATCTAAAGTTAAACATTTTGACCTTTTCTCAAATAGAACTTCAGCATATTTTACTGATTACTATCCCCTTACCCTCCATATGCTATTTTTATTCAGAATTTTAATCCTTTAATTTTTAATACCATACATCATTCTTATTACTGTTTTATATAGTCAAGGTATGTTTAAGTATACCTACATATTTATTAATATCTTAGTAATCCATCTTACTTCTCAGACCTCCCATCTGGGATCATTTCCTCTTATCTGAATACATCTTTCAGAATTTTCTTCAGAGGAAGTTGGTTGGCAGTAAAATTTTTGTTTTGCCCCAAAATGTCTTTATTGCATCCTCTTTGTTGATATTTTTACTACACATGAAAATTCTAAAAATTGAGCTATTTTCCTATCCTATTGAAGATATAATTTCACTATCTTTTGGCTCCTATTGCTTTTAAAAACTCAGCTGTCAGTCTAAATGCTATTCCTATATATCTGTTTTTATCTTTCTAGCTGCTTTTAGTATCTTTTTGTTTGTTTAAAGTTTTTCAGTTTCATTATAAAATGCCTATTATAATTTTATTTTCATTTCTTCTCCTTTGTTGGTCTTTCTGGATCTTAAGGTATTACTTAACAATTCTAGAACTTTTTTTTTCTTCCCATCTGCTAGAGAATTTCCTTTGGAATTCTAATGACATTATCTTAGGTTATCCTCCTAGTTTCTTAAGCTCATTTCACATTTTCCCTTCTCTTTGTCTCTCTGAGCCATATTCTGGATTATTCAGATCCATTTCCCAGTTCTCTAGTGTTCTCTTCAACTGTCTCTAATCTCTTTAATCCAGTGATTTTAGTTCCTATTCTTATATTTTCATCTCCAGAAGTTTCACTTCCTTATTTTTAAAATCTCTGCAGATATTTTATAGTCTTTTATTCTTGTTCATATTTTCAATGCTTTTACAAACCTTTCTGAAACATGTAAAAATATTTATATTTTTGTGTGATATTTCCAATAATGAAATATTTACAGGCCCAACTCAGCTGACTGCTGCTTCTCCTGGCTTTACTCAGGGAGACTTGTGTCCTTGTGTTTCTCCAGAGGTTTCCGTTCCTACCTGAGAGTCACCTAGGGCTGTTTAGGTAGCTACGCTGCCATTATGCCATAAAAGAATATCCACTTTAATTTTCTCCTTTCTCAGTGTTTCTCCAAATAAATTGTTCCCCAGTGGATAAAAATATACTTTGGAGGATATGAACTAAGATACTGAAATATCTTATAAATCAAATTCTTTACCTGGGTTCTACTTAGGATGTTCATTTGGCTGTGAATGTATCTCTGATAGGAAGTATAGTCCCTTCTGCAGTTTGGTTACTAAACCATCCCTATTAGCTCATCCATATATCACTAATGTTGAAAATGCATGATTATTATTAATTTCAGTCACATTATAAAACACTGCTTAAGAACTAACCCTATAATCACAGAGATGCACAAACCTGTGAGGGTCATCAGGATCACAGTTAGGGAGAAACTGAGTGATTGCTTCTGCCACTTCTTCATTTGATAAAACATCCCACAGTCCATCCGTTGCCAGGATCAGCACATCATCTGCTCCATGCTCATATTTGGAGAGATCGTAGACTCTTACCTGAAACGAATGGGAACACTTTGGCTTACGAGATTGTAAGCACATCATTCCCCCTAAAGAACTGACTTTGATCTCCAGCCCCTTTTCCTACCCAGTCAGTGGTTTGCAGGTATGCATTGCAAGATACTCATTGTGCAGCAAGCTTTGTGGGCAGGGCAGCTTTCTTTGGAGACTTGTTGTACAGAAATATGGGGCCTAATGGGTGGGCTTAATAGTTTGACAAAAAAAGAAATGGACTGCCTGGCAGGTGTTGCTCAGTGGGTGAGCGTCCACATATGAACCAGGAGGTCATGGTTTGATTCCCAGTTGGTCTGCCCAGGTTGCATGCTCGATCCCTAGTAGGTAGTGGCAGGGGGCAGCTGATCAATGATTCTCTCTCATCATCGATGTCTCTATCTCTTCCTCCCTATCCCTTCCTCTCTGAAATTAATGAACTGAAAATGTAATGCCTGAGATGTTGCTGGAACACTGACTTCTCTAGAAGATACTTCGCTAGCCAGAGGCTTGCTTCCTTCTTTTCTTTGCATGTTCATTCCACAAATATTAAGAGCTTGCTCTGGGTCAGGTGCTCTAAGTCCAAAGATAGAGATTTCCCTGCTTCTGAGTTCTCAGTGTGGGGTGAGATAAGGCCAGTCTAGGGTCCTTAGTAGCTGCTCTGTATGTATTGGCCTGGGGCAAAGGAGGCACACTTTAAGCAATGCACTTATTGATCACCTTTTGGCTTACCTGTTTGTTGCCCGGGGGACTAATCTCATGTAGGCATGGAGCTCTGAGGCTACACTGAGGTTTGAGGAGCCTCAATCTGGCCTAATTTACAACAGACGCATGCTAAGTCAGAATCTCCTAAGCATGTCTGGGCAAATCTTAAGCCTTAACTCATCTCTAGTACCTAGAACGACTTGGGTATTTCAACATCCACCTAAAATCTCTGAAAAGAACAGAGTAATCTTGGCAAAACCAATAAGAATAAAAATCAAGCTCATTCAGGTTAGGCCACAACTCTATATTCACCCTGCTTTGGCTGGGTGGGGGAGGAAGAGTTGGGATTTCATTGTTGTTCCCTCCTAATTTGGCAGAACCAGCAACTGCCTAACACACCCCATAAACTGAGGACAAAGGCAGGTCAATTCACCCATCTCCCAGCTCCTTCAGCCCCCTCATTGCTCTAGTCTATTTTCTAAAACCAAGCCTGAGTGAAAGCTGTGGGTGAGGGGAGGGAAGAGAGAGGGCGGAAGAGGCAGTGTGAGCAGCTGCTCCCAGGCCCCAGCACAATCATTACCTCACCTCAGGTCTAGAGAGAATACACATTCTCTACACATTCAGGTCTACAAACTGCTCAAATCCATGTCTTTGAAAGCCAAGCTTATGTTTTAGAAAAGTTTTCCCAGGCCAGTGACACCCCGCCAAGGGACTGGTCCTGTGGACTAGCAGCCTACACCCAGCGGCAGAAAACAGCCAAGTGCACCACACCCGCCCACGGAGCCCTAGGAAAGCGAGCAGAACTGAAAAGCCTCCTCTGGGACCCAGGCTGCTAGGCCTGTGACGTAGATGGAAGCAATTAGCTAATGGCCCAGTGTGCAGACCACACTCCGGGGAAGAGCACTCAGGGGTGCACAGGGGTTTTAACACTTTCTCAAAAGGCATGTTCACTTAAGGATGTTTACATTCTGGAGAAGGCAGGGCGCCTTATGAGGCCAAATTAAAGAAAATAAGAGGGAGGATCTTAAGTTTAAAGCCAGAAGGTCTCAAATGCCAGAATTCTATCCTTAGGCCACAGAAGTCACGTGGTCTAATTTTCACTCCACAGACACGACCAAATCCCCTTAGCGCTGCTTTCTGCGGTTCCTGGATGCCTCAGAGCAGTGCTTCTCATATGCATAGAAATCAGCTGGGGATCTTGCTAAAATGCAGATTCTAACTCCATTCTGGGGGGAGTTGAGAAGCTGTATTTCTAATTTGTTCCCTCATGCTCCGAGCCTGCAGGTCCATGGACTGCTCTTTGAGTACCAGGCTGTAGGAAAATCGTGGGCTTAGCAGCCTCCATGGCGCCTACATAGTTATCCCCTGGGGTAAACTCAAGAGAAATAGCAGAGGTCACTCCTGGGCTCCCAGCTTCAAGTCCTGGCTCACTGTGTGTGCAATAACTTTAAGAGAGACTGCTAGATTCCTACTGAGGAATTTCTACAACAAATTTCTGTGATAATTCGATAATTTGATAATTTCTATCAAAGGATAGAAAATGTTAACTAAAGGGAAATGGGTAGATATATGGATGATAGGTGGCCCAATCTTATGCTTATAGCTCAATAGCAGATTCTCTCTGCCTTCCAGGTCCTTCTAAATGAGAGGTTTCTAGGTCTGAATATAATTCCATTAAATTTCAGGACCCACCCTATGTGTAGGATGCCAAAACCTCTTCAAGTACTTTCTGCTGGCCCCCAAGATGTGGAGATCTGAGTTATTCAAGCTGAAGCTCTCCTGCCCACTACTCAACTGGAAATCTGGTGAACAGAATGGATGTGGGTTGATAAATAGAAATATGTTAGAAAACACTCCTTTTCCATTCTGCCAATAAATTGAATCCTCCCTTAATCCCACTATTCACATTTTCACACACAGCTCTCTAATGCAGTTTCACTAGCCAACATGAATCCCTTTCAATGCCATTCTCCAACTAATTTTTATGTAAATAATAAAAAGCTGGTCTCAACCGTATTCCCTGAGGCACTTGCCTAATTAACATCCTTTTAGGTTTCTTTTTACTGCTACCCTTTGTTTCCTGCCCTTTAGACAATTTCCAAAGGACTTTGCCAACTTTCCACTTACAACTCATGTCTTATACATTAACCTGCGATGCAGAACATTTGGTGAGAAAGCTTTCAGAAAAATTGGACTTCCACGCAAGACGCCCCACTGGATGCTCGACCTCAGCGGCAAGGGCTTCAAAGGATTCCAGCGGGCTCTGGAGTCCCGACCTTCCCTCTTTGAAGCTGCAGTGGGCCCTCCTCGGTCAGACCGCACTCATCTCCCCAAAGTTCCCTGTTCCATCCCTTAAATAGCCTCTTAATGTTCCGGGAAGCCTCACATCAAGCTAATAGGCTCTGAGGCTCCCCGGGACTCATGCAGAAGAGAGGCTCTGAGGCCTCGTGAGGGAGAGGTATGCAGCACAAACGCTTGTCTGAGGGGGAGTGGAGAACATGCCAGGGCTTCCAGCGGCTCCTTCCTGCCTCACCATCTGCCAAGAAAGGAAGAGGAAGGCCACAGGAATCCTTGAGATTCCTGCAGTTTCTCAGAGCTATTTCATTTGAGCAGCTTAGAGAGGAGGCCCGTGTGGCTCCATCTGCCTTCCCGGGACTTTCGTTACGTGTAGTTTATGGAGCAGCCACCATGTGCCAAGGACTTTCCCAGACACTGGAGATCCAGCTGTGAACGAAAGTGACAGCCTCTCATCTTCTAACCCAGGAGATGAGATAGACAAACACCACTGCCGGGTGATGGGTACTCTGAAGAATAACCAGGCAGGGGAAGGAGATGTGATCCTGGGGGGCCTCTCTAGGAAGGCCCTATTTGAACAGAGATCTGACCAAGTGAGCTGATTTCCCCACAGGTCCCTTCTTGTGCCTCTCCTTTCTGGACCCATTGCTCCTCTGGATTAAGAATGTGTCTAAAACATCCCCTCCCTTCTCTCCCCTCTCCTCCCTGGCTGAGGAAGACCAAAGCACAGTATCTCCGTCCTGGGCCTCTGCAGTCACAATCCTTTCCCGCCCACTAGCACAGTCTTTACCTCTTGCTACCCACCTGGGTTCACTTGTCTGTCTCCTCCGCACGGTCAGTTATTCTCAAACTTTAATGTGTTTAAGGACCCCTTGGTGCTAATTAAACAAACGAGGATTCCAGGGTCCACCTTTAAAAATTCTGATTGTGTAGCTCGGAGCTCATGCATCAGCCTATTTAAATAAAGACCAGGTAATTCCGATGCAGGTAGTGGGGGACCCACACCTCGAAAACTGTCCTAGGCTATAAGCTCCTAGGGGCAAGTTCTGAATTGTCCCATTTGTTTCTGTTTCCGCAACAGAGCAGAGAGCCTGGCACTTGGTAACAATTCAATCAATAACCTTTGGCACTTAGAGATGTCCTTTTTAAAAAATATATATATTTTATTGATTTGTTACAGAGAGGAAGAGAGAGGGACAGAGAGTTAGAAACATCGATGAGAGAGAATCATCAATCAGCTGCCTCTTGTACACCCCCTACTGGGGATGTGTCCGCAACCAAAGTACATGCCCTTGACCAGAATCAAACCCAGGACCTTTCAGTCCACAGGCCGACGCTCTATCCACTGAGCCAAACCGGTTTTGGCTAGAGATGTCCTTAATGTCATCACCGAGCACCTGTTTTACAGAGGTGCTTATGACAAGCAACTTTTAATACAGTACCGGCTGCAGGCTGCTGCTTCAGGGCTTGTCTAAAACGTGTTGGCATCTTTGCTCTGTTACTGATGAATTTCAATGTCATGTTAAGAGAGCTCATACTGGCTTCTTAAAATGACTTTTAAAAAGAATCCATCAATTCTTCCATTTGCCCAATCTCGGCTGTTTGTCTAGGATGCTCTCACAGCCTTTCCATCTTAAACAGCTCAGCAGATTCCCCAAACCTTTTCCCTTTTAAGTCCTTGGCCCAGAGCAACGAGCTCCTGCAACGCAGGCCTGGCTTACTGGAGGAGCCGGAGCCCTCACTTCATTATCAGGAGCCCTCACTTCAGGTGTCTGCTTCTAACCAGCTTTGGTTAGCCATCGAGACAAGCCATTTATTTCCTTTAGCTATCAAGTTTCTCATCTCTGAAATCATTGTTTAAAAATTGGGAAAAAAAATAATGAAAAATAAATATTATATACACGTGTCTACCTCGCTCACAAAGCTGTTATAAAGATCAAATGAGATAATGTGGAAGGTCACTATAAATTCTCATGCACCACATGTTACTTTTCAAGGCACTGGTC